TCTCTCTCTCTCTCTCTCGGACCAGTCTGAGGTGTGAGCCTTACTGATTGTGGTCTGAAATTGGCAGAAGGTGCTGTACTGTTCTCTGTTGAGCTCCTGTAACCTCCTGCTATCTCCTGTTGTGAAGATGCTCTGCAACGCCAATACAGTGTCCTTGAAAGAGCAGGTGCAGGAGGAAAAGTAAAAAATGCAGACAGCATGGACTCAACTTTAACAGCGAACAGTCCAACATAACTAGAACTAGGCGAGCAGAGGCTGAAATTTTCCATATAACCCTCATTGAATTTTCGGGTCGTGCAAAAGCACTGGAGTGGGATCTGACAGCAGCAGCATGAAATGCTGGAAAAACTTCATTCATTATGAGGCAGGAATTCAATTAAACTCCAACAAAAATGAATGAAAGCAACAAGAATCAAACATTTGGAAGTAGTTGAAGCTTTTAGGGAACGATTAAGGATGATTGGCGATCAAATGTACAGGATGAGAACCTTTCACTTTTGCTTTGTCCTATTTTGTGCGCAAACGTGATTGGACGAGGTTTGTGTGATCTTTACTTGTGTGTGTGTGTGAGATTCAATCTGGTTAGGCCCTTCTGTGGCAGCATGTGTTTTAGTGGTGAGTTCTGAGTATGTCCGCTTTGATCCGGCTCTGTGGGAGTTTTCCATGATCTGTGGGTTGGATGTCCCTGCTTGGATGCCTCGGCTTGACGGCAGGCGGCTGGCTGCAGCTGTGTCTCAGGTGGGCCGAGTGTGTTTCGCTGCTGGCTGGGTTGCAGGCGGTGGAACCGTGTTAGAACGAGAGCTAATAAGACGTGTGTGGTAGAGTGGTGCGTGTGGGTGTGGTGAGGTTGTTCCAAAGGCAAGGACGCGTCTTTAATGCGAGACGATACATGTAGGACACGCTCTGACGGATCGGAGGCGAGGAATTTTGTGCATTTGTTTATTCGCTCCCAAATGTGGGCGGCAGACTTGTAGATATCGCAGGTTGCAGGGTTCGGTTCGCAGTCGTCAAAAACAAAAAAGTCAAATTGTTGCATGACAGCTGGCGTCAGTTAACATTGTAATTCTGTGAGCGGGAATTATGACCAGTTCTTTAAAGCGCATAATTACAGTTTGGTTTGTTCGTATGCATATACTGCAGTGCCACATGTTAGGCGCATGTGATCTGGCAACCGCCACATCTAGATGATGATGAAGACTGCTGCTTTTATCCTCTCGCTGAAAGATGTGTGGGCTGACAGGTGGAATGAAAAAGGAAAAAAAGACTTACAAGAACAAATCTAAACCTCCTCTCTGTATCTCTCTTTTCTCCCTCCTCCTTCTTTGCAGGCACCACTAGTCGACGCTGCTCACTGGATCACCGCGGGGTGGCCTATTGGGAGCAGCCCAGCTACGCTCGATGCATTGCAAATGAATACAGATACTTGCAGCAATCAGTAGGTGCTAAGTCAGCTTCCTGCGCTCTGCTTCTGTTTGTGACGTGCCATACATTACCCCTGCAGTCGTCACGATCACCCAAACTATTTCCACCCATTCCGTTCCCACCCGGCAACCCAGACCACCACGCAGGTCTGCAAGATAAACTGCTATCATCGGAAAGGCAAATTAAACCGCTAGTATTGCAGTTTTCGAGACCCCGCGTTAATGGAGGACTCGTTCTAATTTCCTGTAAAATCTATGAGATGGTTGTTCCAGCTTCACCAGAGCTTTTTCTGGGAACGCACCTGCTCGACGCGAATGAATGATTTTCACTCTTTTTGTTTTCAGCTTCCTCTTATTTGAGTCTTTCTCAAATGCAATAAGTTGGGTTATTTCCAAGCTTCTGTGTGCATCTCTCTCACACACACACACACACACACACACACACACACACACACAGAAAAGCATGGTGGGGACTTTCCATGGTTGTATTGGCTTTATATTGAGGTAATGATATTTTCTATCCCCTAGCTCTCACACCTTTTTGCCTTTTAAAAATTTAATTAAGGCATTATTTATTATTTTTATTGTTATATCCCTTGTGAGGTCTGCTGTCAGGTTTTACTATCCTGATGGGGGCTTTTGGTCTTCACAGTGCAGGCAAAACCTGACCCACACGTGCACACACACACTCACAGTGCAGGCAAAACCTGACCCACTCGCGCACACGCGCACACACACACACACACACACATACATTCTTCTGTCTGCGCTCTTTAGCCTCTTTCTTTGAGTCAGTGTGTATGACATCATGCCTGCGTGACTTATGTATGTTTTTTCATTGCTCTTTTGTTTAAAGGTGAAGTGTGTCATTTTTTTGATGCTCTTGTTTCTGTTTAAAATTTAGGGCAAAACACTACTGCTCAAACGTTTGGGGTTGGTACGATTTTTAATGTTTTTGAAAGGTGTTCAAAAACTCTTATGCTGAACAAGGCTGCATTTATTTGATCAAAAATACAGAAAAATAATACTTTTCTGTTATAAATGTAATGAAATATTATTACAATTTAAAATATTTCAACCTTTTTTGACTTGAGGAACAAACTACAAAGCAGCCACCTAGCAACCACCTAGAACGCCATCCCCACTGCATAGCAACAGGCTTAAAACCATTTAGAACACCTTAGCAGCCAGCTGCATAGCAAGAGCCCAAAATAATTTAGAAAACATTAGCAACTGCATAGCAACAGGCTAAATTCACTCAGAACAGCTTAGCAACTGCGTAGCCAGAGGCTAAACCGTTTAGAACAACTCATCAACTGCATAGCAGCAGGATAAAACCACTGAGAACACCTTAAAATGCTGCATAGGCAAACCACTCATGTTTTCTTCAGAAAATGTAGAGTGTAATATTTTCAGTCTAAAATGTTTTAATTTCCTATATCACAGTATCAAAACATTGTTCTGTTAGTGCATCTTGACCAGTCCAGCATAGCAAAATTGCATCAACCAATGGCACTATTCTGGGGCGGGACTATCTGCTCATCCAGCCAATATCAGACAGGACAGTGTTTGAGGAACATCATTATATAAACAGTATCAACATTCTATAAACGGTTGCGTTTAATGTTGCTTGAGGAATTACGCACTTCACCTTTAAAAACTAAAGGTAGTTCTTTATATTACAACTTTCTGTTAGTGTTGCAGTCTTTGAAGGACACACAGAACCCAGTCTCTTTCCCTGTGTCTGTCTTTAGGTCCAGGGGCACCTTGCTAAAGGTCAGAGGAATCTGGCAGGAGATGGCATGTCCCAGGTTACGAAGGTCCTCCTAGACCTCACCCAAAGACGCAATTTCTATGCAGGTGACCTTCTCTCTTCAGTGGAGATTCTTCAAAACGTCACAGACACCTTCAAAAGGGCCAGCTATGAACCCTCTTCTGATGACGTTCAGGTAAGAGAGAAAATAATCTTGTTTCTTGCTAACCTCCATGATTATATCCATCTTGTAAATGTTTTCATTTAGGCATTGTGGTAAATTTATCTTAGGTCTTGAGCGTCAAAATGCAGGTTGAAAGTGATACCATGCATAACATACCTTGACTACAAGACATCTTTTTTTTTTTTATTATTATTTTTTTTTTTTTTTTTTTGCAAACAGCATATACACTACCTTTCAAAAGTTTGGAGTCAGTAAGATTTTTATTTTATTTATTTATTACAAATGAATACTTTTATTCACCAAGAATGCAATAAAACAATCAAAAGACATTTATAGTGTTACAAAATATTGTTAGAATGTTAAATATATTTCAAATAAATTCTGTTTTAAAAATTCATATTCATCAAAGTATGTATCATGGTTTTCAAACACAATTTGTTTCAACTGTGCTAATAGTAAGAAATGTTTCTTGAACAGCAAATCAGAATATTATAACGGATTAACGGAGTAATGGCTGCTGAAAATTCAGCTTTGGCATCACAGAAATAATTGACAGTTATTGTACAAATATTTCAATTTTTTTCTGTTTTTATTGTATTTTTGATCAAATAAATGCAGCCTTGGTGAGCATAAGAGACTTCTTTCAAAAACATTTAAAAAATCTTACAGACCCCAAATGTTTGAATGGTAAAATTAATTAGGAATATTTCATTATATGATATAGATTTTCTGAAGGGCTATTAAAAGCATTTAGAGCAATTGTATTTTTTCTGTCTTGGCTCTCTTTGACATCACAAATCAGGATAGTCGCTAGTGAAGGGCTTGAGACTGTATGCGTTCTTATGGAGCCATCAGCCAATTAGAGCTGCCATGACGTCATTTTCCACCAGAATGATTAGTCACATGGCTTTACATTAGTCACATGGCTCTAAAATGCATATCTCCAGAACTGAGTGCCTGTGAGCAAAGATAGCAGCAAGCCAGTCACGTGTTTCTGGAGGGTGACGTGCAAGTCAAGGAACTGCCGTTGAGATGAATGGGGGTACTTATAGGTTTCTCCAGACATTCCAGGCGTTTGGGTGAAGTTAGCAAAATGGGAGAAGTTAGTAAAATATCTCCAATCACTTACAGCGCCTTCAAAATGGCAATGTCACTACTTGGGACCGTGACTGATAAATATCTTGGTGCTCTTGCCCCTCACAGAGAGCTTATGGGATTGTGACACCGTGCGCCAGCTGCTGATAGGAGATAGTCACTAAGTCTATCGCATTCTATCTCAAAGCCTTGTCATAACCTTCCCAATGCCGAAATAAACCGATTTCTCATGACCTGTTTGTGAGAATCTGGGTATTTTTACATAATATGGAATGTAATGTGATTTTGTGCATGTATGTTTGTGTGTCGGGTTGGTGTAGGAGGTTGATGTGAACCGGAGCGTCCCCTCCTCCCCACGCAAGTGTGCCGGGGGTGGGTTGTGTGTTTTGGAATGTATTAATGCTGTGTTTAAGTGGACGCATTACCACCAGAGGGAGCATACGCATTCAAGTAGAAAAACAAGAGTGCCGGAGCTAAGACGCTGCCTTTCTCCTGCCTTTCGTGGCACAGAGGCAGAGTAGCAAACAAAAAAGACAGGCACACGTCCAGCTGGATATCTCATTCAGCCCAGTCAACACAGCAAACATCAGCTCTCTTTCCAGTCTTGTAGTAGACTGCTCTCCCAAGCGCTTTCAAACTCAACCAACGCTCTCTGTTCTTCCCCTTTAATTCTGTGCACATTTGAGTGCTTAAGAAAGATCAACCAATCCCTGAATTGAAAGCAGCAGGAAATCCCAGGTGTGTTTTAGAGCCGAGGCTGCTGGACATATCTCATCATCTCCCTGTAAATAAGTGCTGTGATCCTCGGTGTAATTCCCAGAGACACTGTTTGTTTAGACTTTTGAAATGCAGGGGAGATTCTTCATTACTGCCTTTTCGGGCAACACTGAATAGATTTTTTTCCCTCAGAAATTCCAGATATGAATTTCTAGTTTGCTTTTTCCAGGACTAGGTAAAATTTCAATTTAAAGTCAATTTAATATACTTAAGCAGTAGGTAAAAGAAGCCATGCTATTTTTATGAATACAGTCACGGCAAAATTCTCACAATACCACAGCCTCAAGTACATTATTGCTTTTATAATGCTTCATAATATAAAAATTAAGGCCACAAATAGTGTTTTATTATGCAAATTCATTAACCATTATCCATCCGTTATGGTACATAGTCCTTGACAATTCTGTGGGTGCTGTGCAGTGATATACACACATAACATTTTCTAAAATGTATTATAAAGTTATTCTGAATGAATTCAGTCATTCATAATGCCTTATAACACACCTCAAAATCTGTTTTTAATGTTATCATGAATAATTAAAGCCATAGTTATCATGCAGTTTTAATAACTTTATATTCTTTTAAAAGCACAGTTCTTGATCACATGATCAACAACCATATCCATGTTTTATATCATGCATTATATGCTTTAAAGGCATAAACAAAAACAATTTATTATAATGTTTTTTTTTTTTTTTTAAAGGTCCGATTTTTTTACTGATGTGGTCTGGAACTTCATTAAAAATAGTTATCATTAAAAGTTCATCCACTCTTTCCTAATGTTGGGATCAGAAGGAAGGCAATGCAGAGAATGTTTTTCCACAACTTTTCCACAAGCTGTGGATCATCCATGTAACAACACAGTATTAAGGATCAAGCGTATGTAAACTTTTGAACAGGGTCATTTTTATAAATTCAACTATTTTCTCTAGTTAACTACCGGTATATGTAAATGTCTTTTATGTGAAATATCTTATTCAGGTCAGTACTCACAATTAATGTTACCAGCCTGTTCCTTTGACAGCAGCGTTTTACTAAGTACAATTTCTTCTCTCCACAGAATTTTTTTCAGATCATCAGCAATCTCCTGGAAGAAGAGAACAGAGAAAAGTGGGAAGATGCGCAACAGGTGGGTCTGAACATTGTGAACGAGTGTTTTTTTGAAGCTTCGGGGTCGAGATTGCTTTATTATAGTCACATCGCAGAGAGTATCTGGTGCTGTGTGTCACTCTGCGGCTGTATATTGTGTGATGATCCCTCAGCAAATCGATTGCCATCACCGGTGCAGATGCTTTAGGTAATTGTCAGGTCAAAGAGGTGCCTGTCTCCACAGGCAGGGCTGTGTCAAATCAAACCTTCTCTGCCGACCTCCCTGTTGTGCTGATTGGTGGAAGGACATTTGCAATATCCATTGCATCCACTTGGTGGCAGCAGCATTGGCAGCATATGTCCAGCTTTCATGCTTTCCATCAGCAGTAACGGCATTGTCTTCTCTCACTCTCTGAGAAACGGTATAAAAGCAGCCTGAGGGATTTGGACTTGAACAAGCTGAATGTTGTTCAGAAACTCTCCAACTCCATTATTATTGCATTGAATCAAATTGAGTGTCTTAAATGTTTCTTTCTTTCCTTTAAGCCTGAACTGGTAATGCCTGTTAAGCAGACGGTGGTAATGTTACTGTCTGTCAAACGTAAGCTGCTTTGGAGCTCCTTCGTCTAATGTTTTCACCCGAGTTCTGGTAAAACATGTGTCCTTGAGTGAATTGGGGTGCTGCGTGTTAACCGAATTAGCCCTTTAATGGAGTTTACAGTAGGGCGGTGTCACAAGGCTTTTAAAGAAAAGTAATATGTTTTTCAGTCAGGAGTGTGTTCGGAGATCAGGTCACATTGCTTGTTTTGCCGAAGGAGCTTTGCCTGCTTAAATCAGTCCCTGGAGCAGAGGGGACTCCCGTTTTCCATTCACGTTCCTCCTCTGCTTTGTCACAGATTGAATCTTCAAGCTCCTGAAATCATTAAAGGACGTCTGAGACCATTGTCACCAGCTCTGGCAAATGATTGACCTTAGAAAGCCCTGACTTTTAAAGATCACCCAGGATTTTATCTTGTCTGTCTGTCTTGTCTTCTTTAGAGTCAGCTCTCCTGAGCTTTGATTGCCAGTCTTGAGTCTGTGCTGTTTGGGCAAAGGAGGGAAATAAAATTAAAAGAAGTGCTTAAGAGAAGTGGCTTTGATTGACTTCCTCGCAATTTCACAGCTTGAAAAGAAGAAGAACATGAGGTGCATTAGTTTCATTAACTGATGGTCCACTGTCTACATTTAGATAGTAGTGGGATAAATGTACTTTCATATCCTAATCCATAGGATATTAGTAATATGTATAAAATATGTATAAAAATCTTATGTCATATTATACAAACATGAAAACACAAACATGTTTTTTTAAGCATTTAACATTTATTCCAAAATAATAACTAAACAATACATTTTATTTGTGAACTTATGTTCAGCTGTTGTTATTAATAGTTAACTTCTGACTATTTTTAAACTTTTTTTGGATCATCAGTCATCAAAGCTCGGTAAATATTGGTCACAGACACAGAAATGTACTTAACATTTCACCAAGCTGATGACTCACTAAAAATTCCCACACAGGGGATTTCAGAAGTTAGGGAGACAGAAATGTCAGTATTTATTTATTTATTTTTTGGCTAATTGACAGGTTCTCTTATGATTATTATTATTATTATTATTATTTTCTTATTTCTTACTTTTAAGTTCTGCTGGACAATAACCAATAATTTATACTCCATAATATTTTTCCTGTATTTTCCTGATGGCAATTTTATGATTGATTCAAATACTACAAACACTTTTTTTTTTTTTTGCCATTTTTAATCACAGAATAAAGCAGAAAATATATTTTATATTTTCTAAAGGCTACTGAAATAAATTATATGTCAATTAGCACTGCATTATTCATATAATTTAGTTGTTTATTACCTGGAGATGACTTGGAAAAACACATATAAACCATATATTGTCGCAATCGTGTGTTTATTGTCTTCACGTTTCCTCAGTCAAAACGTTTCTGCTTTTTATTCATGTCCCCCGCATCCCACGCGAATTCTACACCTATGCTTCCACAGAGCATGTCTTCATGCCATTAAGTCATATTTTGACGTAACAAAGTGGTTATATCTAAGTGTGAGTTGTTTACTTACTACTTACAAAATATGTAGAAGAAAACCCATGAAAGATTTATGTTATTTTAAAAATCCACATCGTTTTATACATATTTTGGACTATGGGGGCGCCATTATTTCAATGGCGTCAAATTGTTGCACTCGGTGAGCTACTGGATCTATCTGTTGTTAATTTTACCACAACACAACTCTGAATACTGATACGATGCCACATTGTGCGGCTTTTGGTTGTAATTTTCAGTCGAAGGACAAGAGAAGCGATGTAAGTCTTCGCTGCTTTCCTAGCGATAAGAAGAGGAGAAAAGAATGGGAAGCTATGAATGAATAAAACGTCCTAAAGACCCGCATCTTTGTTCTCTCCTTTAGCCCTGATGCCTTTGAGGCATTTAGTAAACCACAGCTACTGAAAAAGCTTACAGGTGGTGATGGATATAAGCATAGGCTTAAACCAAATGCCGTACCATCAATTTTTCCCCACAAGGAGTCTAAATGCCCCCGGATAGTGAGTGCTGAGAAACTCCTTCAGTGGCCGCGGCGTCATGGCAAGCGTCGGTATGATTACATCCTGCATGGATGGCATCTAGCGTTTCTTGTCACTGCTGTTTGTAAGCTTTTTCAGTAGCTGTGGTCTACTAAAAACCTCAAACGCATCAGGGCTAAAGTGGAGAGAACAAAGATGCAGGTCTTTAGGAAGTTTTATTTATCCATAGGCAAATTCCCATTCTTTTCTCCACTTCTTATCGATAGGGAAGCAGTGAAGACTTCTTTTGTTGTCCTTCAACTGAAAATTTCAACCAAAAGCCTCATCGTATCAGTCATCGTATCAGTATTCCGAGTTGTGTTGTGGTAAAATTAACAACAGATAGAGCCAGTAGCTCACCGAGTGCAACCATTTCACATCATTGAAATAATGGCGCCCCCCCCATAGTCCAAAATACGTATAAAACGATGTGGATTTTTTAAATAACGTAAATCTTTCATGGGTTTTCTACTACAACCATTTCACATCATTGAAATAATGGCGCCCCGCCCATAGTCCAAAATACGTATAAAACGATGTGGATTTTTTTAAATAACGTAAATCTTTCATGGGTTTTCTACTACATATTTCAGTAAGATACATAATTTACGTTATTTTAAGCCATACTTACACATACATGTCTTAATACCCGGGGTTCCCTTTAATTCAGACTGATTCGCGAACTCGAACGAACACAAGAGGTGGGATTTATTGCATGAACCAATCACAGCTGAACATAACCAGTCATATTTCCTCCTCTCACGTGACTGGCCCGAGGCCTTGAATTGTTTTTGCACTGATTAGTTTGTCCACAACGTGGCAACACTGGTCCGGGCCGTCATTTCACATAGCCAGTAGTGCTTCAAAGGACAAAAACACACATAATTATGTCAAAATGCACAGTTTTGGCGAGTGACCTCGTAAACACGGTTTTAAATGAGTTATAAAGTCCTAAATGACAGTAAAGAGAAAGATCGGATGTGTGTCAGATTCACATCATATGCATCAGGTTTTAAAGAGCCATCGCTGCATTAAAAGTGAAACCTGATGAAGTCATTTATGTAAATCACAGAACAAAAGAAAAAGAGAAATCTGCTCTAGTCGCTGATTAACTTTTGTAGCTTGAAGATTAATATATACAGTGGGTACGGAAAGTATTCAGACCCCCTTCAATTTTTCACTCTTTGTTATATTGCAGCCATTTGCTAAAATCATTTATGTTAATTTTTTTTCCTCATTAATGTACACACAGCACCCCATATTGACAGAAAAACACAGAATTGTTGACATTTTTGCAGATTTATTAAAAAAGAAAAACTGAAATATCACATGGTCCTAATGAATAGATCTTGAAAAGTTTTCATTTATAGTTTATGCATATACAATTTATAGTTTGTGAAGATTGTTTTAAGTTCACTTAAATCAAAAGTTATATTTTTCAGAGCCTACTAAACGTTAAAAATAGTGGCTTTCAATTATATTGTGATGTTGAATGGCTATAAGTAATGGCTAAAATTGAGGTGAAAATGCATTTAATAGAGACATCAGTGGCAGTATTGGTATCAAAATACTGGCCTTTGTTTATAATAGGCTACTTAGTAAAGAGATGCACATATTTAAAATATACCACCTTCATGTTGTTTCTACATTAATTTGGAGGTTCAGTCTGAAATGATGACAATATTTTAATATGCAATTAATCATGATTAATTACAGAAAAATGTGTGATTAATTAGTTTATTTTTATTTTATTTTTATCGATTGACAGACAGTGGTAATGTTAAACTTAGATGTTGCTGTTGGTAACATTAGTTAATTTTTATATTATATTATAAAAGTCGTAACTATACATTTAACTTTTTTATATATATATATATACTTTTTCTTGCAGGACCCCGTATGTTATAGTATAAAATTAGTTTTAATGATTAAATCACCACCACAGCGTCTTGTCTCCATTGGCAACACGCACCATTTGTGTCGATTGCAAGTGACGTCGCAGGTATCGGAGAGTGCAAGTGGCGATTGCAAGTGACTTCGTAATTTAGTTTCTTTTGTCTTGTCTTCACCACCTGGCTACTGTTGTAAAATGTTGAGAGATTCAAACAAAAAGTAATCAATAAATAGAACAAAATAAAAAATAAAAAAGACTGCAAGTGACGTCTCTAGCGGAAGTGCAAGTGTCTGAGAGTGCACGCCTGAGAATGCACGTCTGAGAGTGCAAGCGCCAGCTGCAGCGAGACCCTTTTGGACAGAGGGGGGATGGGCTGATCCGCCTGTGTGCCCTCAGCGTCTCTCTCCCCGTCTGCAGCCTGTCTGATTGGCTTGGCCCAAGATCGGCCCCCATGCGAATTAAGAGCCCGACTCCTGCCAGGGGGATTATTAGATATGTGACTCCATCGCCCTGTTTCTGCACCTCACTAAGGGTGCTAATTATGAAATGTCACTCAGTGCTATTTTTCTGCACCCACTTTTTTATTTATTTTTTATTTTTTTTGTCTTTTGCAGATTGGCTGCAATGTGTTTCTGTGCTTTGTTTGTTATCACGAGGAGAGGGGGGTTCAAATGATAATAAGATGAGAGAAATAGGAAACACAGTGTCATATGGCATGTAAATCCATACTGGAAATCTGCTGGGTAAAAGGATTAAAACAACTTGACTTGTGAAAGTCTTGATTAAATTACTATAGCATTCAGAGCAGTTATTTTATTATTATTTATATTGTATTATAGTGGTTTTTTACATTTCTAATTAGCTTTCATTTTTATATTTTCAGTTTCATTTGAAGTTTTAGTAATTGTATGTTTTGTCATTTTTATTAGTTTTTGCTTTTTTACATTTCTTTTTAATTTCACGTTTAGTAATTTTAGTACTTCAGCTTAAACATTTTATCTCAGTTAGATGCCAAGGCAACATTTCTAATTGTCATATAATATTTATATTTTATTTTACTTTAGCTTAATTTTAATGAATCAAACATATTTGAATAGTTTTAGTTTGTTTACAACACTGACAAAGATCAATAATACAACAAGGTAACACCACAACCTTGCAGTAAGGTTTCATTTGATAACATTTAACTACATTAGTTAACATGACCAATACTTCTACAGCATTTCTTAATCTGAAAGCTGAATAAATAAGCTTTCCATTGATGTATGGTTTGTTAGGATAGGACAATATTTGGCCGAGATACAACTAATCTGGAATCTGAGGGTACAAAAAAATCAAATTTGTCTTTAAATTTGTCCAAATGAAGTTCTTAGCAATGCATACTACTAAAATTAAGTTTTGATCTAGGAAAGGAAATTTAAACAATATCTTCATGGAACATGTTCTTTACTTAATATTCTAATGATTTTTGGCATAAAAGAAAAATCGATAATTTTGACCCATACAATATATTTTTGGCTATTGCTACAAATATACCCCAGCGACTTAAAACTGGTTTTGTGGTCCAGGGTCACATATCAACATTTAGTAATACATTTTTTAAAATATAAAAAGTTACATTAAAGTATAGTAATTATATAAAATATATGCATAATTTAAAATATATGCAAATATATGCATAATTTAATGCATTGTGAGCTAACATGAACATTTTTTACATTTTCTAACAAAGGTTAAATGCTGTAAAATTATCATTGATTATTGTTAGCTCATGTTAAAATCATTAACAAATGATAAAAATGTATTACCCATTTTCCATTATTGCACACTATTCAAAAATAAAACTGAATGACATCATGAATCCCTCATTCATTTCAACCCCTCTCTTCTAACCACTTGATTCCACGTGATGGACAAGCAAATGGCATTTAATAGTTGACTTTAAATGATGATTAATTGAATATTTTATTCTTAAATATCCAGTTAATGAGTCTAAAAAAGTCCTGCTCTTGATAAAAGTTCTCCTAGCCCTTCTGTTCCCATCTAAAGATCTTTCAGAGTGATGGCAGATGTAAATAGCCGAGTTCAGTCAGCTGAAGGTCAAGGATTGGATCAGCAGACCGTGATGCTATTGACTGCAAGAGAGCAGGTGCTTTGACAGGCTGAGGCTCTGGAATTCGGGAGGGCGGTGAGCCAGTGCTCCAGCCACAGGCCTGAATTCCTCCAACGCATTTGCTCTGACACTGATGGCTGGTCCACTAGAGAGGCTCTGAGCCCTGCACAATCACTCTACTGCATGAGTTTGTCTTTGTGAAGGACTCAGCAGACAGGATGCAGGGCTCTAAAGTATGAGATACAGAGGAAGTGCCCTTTAAAAAGTCTTTATAGTCTCCTTCTAAAAGAGTCAGTCGAAGTGCTTTTACTAGGCTGACTGTTGCTTTGTGTGTTGTTTTTGTCAGATACTGTTCATCTATCTATCTATCTATCTATCTATCTATCTATCTATCTATCTATCTATCTATTGTTCTGTCGTTCTATCATTCTGTCTATCATTCTATCTATCATTGTATCATTCTATCATTTTTATCATCTATCGTTCATTCTGTTGTTCCATTGTTTTATTGTTCTATCTTTCTCTTGTTCTTTTGTTCTGTCTGTCTATTAGTTTGTTTATTGTTCTGTTCTGTTGTTTTATTTGTTTTTGTTTGTTCAAGTTTGTTCTATCATTTGTTCTATCGTTCATGCTGTTTGTTTTTTGTCTATCATTCGTTCTATCATTTTATTCATCTTTTAGCTATAACCTTTTAAACTTTCAAAATTGACACCAAAAGTTTTCTTTCGTTTTTTGTAATTAAATATAAATGAATGTCCAATCCATCTAAAATCCCTCAGATTTGTATCTGTGTTTGATATTCATTTGCAAATAGAGTAACATTTCTCTCCTTTTGTCCCGTATGATTCTTTTTTCCCAGATTTACCCGGGGTCTGTGGAGCTCATGCAGGTCATTGAAGAGTTCATCCACATCGTCGGGCTGGGAATGAAGGACTTCCATAATTCCTACCTGATGACAGGAAATCTGGGTAAGAGAGCCGCAGAAACCAGAAGCCACTCATCTTGCTGACTCTTCCCGTCAGTTCTGTGTGTCGTCAGTAATTGAGGATAAATGGTGCAAGGAGGGGGGCAAACAACTGCCAGTCGATAATGTTAATTAAAATCAAGCCCTTTCCACTTAATGTGCTAAATTCTAATGCAAACAGCCTCATCTGATTTCAGCTCGGAAAAGAGGAGACCGTGTTTGGGTTTGGTTGTATCTATTGCAGCGTGCTTTGATTTTCATTTTCAAAAACAAAATATTTTGGCCTCTTTCCTGATTGCTTTTTTATTTCAGTTTTTAAAGTAAGGCCGTTAAACATCCATTTTCCTGTAAACCTCCCATGTCACTGAAAGAAATCCAGTGCTAAATGTCGACTCGCACACGAATACTGATTTCCTTTCTAGTCATTCGAACAAAATCAAAGTTAAATAGCTAAAAAAATGCTTTTGCTTTCAGTGATGAAGCACATTTGCTTAGTTCTCTTTATTCGATCGCACAGAACGTTGACCCATAAAATTGCAATCTGCATGAATTGCAGAGCTCAACAAATATGAAATGAATAACTTAGATTGACCTTCCTATCCGTCAGCAGATACATAGAGGAGAATATAATGTTTGAAATGGTGCTTACACCCAACTACCATTAAAAAGGTAATTCCATTAAAGGGCACCTTTGATATCTTCTTTAATGTTAACTTATTTTATGTGGCTTGCCATAAAACATTGACAGGATTGTGGTGTCATGACGTTATGTACAGTACAATGACGTATGAAGACATTTAAAGCTTGCTTAGATTCTTGCTTAGTATGGGCAAAAATCTGAAATGAAATTTTCCTCAAATTATACATTGCATTTTCAGATTTTGTATAAAGTTTTTTGGCACTTTCCATGAATATGGAACACATTGGTGTTTCATGACTTTTTAAAAAGCAGTTTAAGTATTACATTTTAATGACCTTGACCTTCTTGGCTGTATCCAAACAGCTCATTTAATATTAATTTGGAACTTCTGAGATTTGTGAAGGTTGAACACCTTTCATTGGCCATTTTAATAAAATAGTTTTAGGCCCTATTTTGTGTCCCATTAATGGAAGTGTCATTTATATTAATTTACCTGCTGACTGTCACATTTATATAACGAAAACCACAAAAAATGTATGCAGAACAGATGTTTCGAGGTTTTTTCCAGGCAAGAATGAATCTTCATCATGCCAGTTCAGACATGACCACCACATTTCAGTGTGTAAGATAAAACGCATAGCCAGAACATCAACATCATGATGCAGGAACTATAAACATTTTAATATCAGCCACTGACAAGGCAAAGTAAACCTGTGATTGAAACTACTTCTTGTAGTCTGAAGGTGAAACTGAGCGATACTGCGTCATACAGCTGCTGCTGCAGTTACAGATGCATAGAAAGACTTTAGCAAATCACTCAGGCAACCAAGAACATTACTGAAACACATGTCTATTTGAGACATTATGTCTCTGTTGATTTGTAGCTTTTTATTATCAAATTACCGGCCATTTAAATTAAATTAATTGTAAACTAACTTCGAAAAGACTTTATTCAGAAGTGTTGGATTTGCTTGGGATGGCATTTCGAATTCCACAGGCATTCCTGCTTGAAATTATGACCCAGTAATTTCATTATGCAGCTGCGTGAAATTATGACCCAGTAATTTCATTATGCAGCTTCTATATCTATCTATCTATCTATCTGTCTATCTGTCTATCTGTCTGTCTGTCTGTCTGTCTGTCTTATTAAAAGGTTATGTTGAACAAGGTAATGAATTCAGAATCCAAGTTACAGTTTTTCTCAGTCGCTTTGGTGCATTTCTCACATCACTATTTACATTTGCACAACAGTTAATGCAGTTCTCAAAACAATTAGTACAAACTGCAAAACCTAGTTGATAACCTGCAAAAGCGTGTCACTTGCTCAAAATGGATAGGTCATTCCTCAAAAGCAAGTATTCATGTCAATGAAAGTGTCAGTGTCATCAAGATGAAAAGTCCTGACACCATTGTTTATGAACAAGATAGTCAAATGGCTTTGTCATGTTTTCATTATGACAGTTTACTCTGTCAATGTTTTCCAGTGCAAAAAAGTCAGATCTTGGTGACACTACCTGAAAATGCTCAAGACAGCACTATATACTATTTGCACAGCCATTTGAAAAATACAGTAAAGTTACACATTACTGTATTTAGTGAGGTAACTGAGTACAAGACACTGAATATGTATGTTTCACATTTTTACTGCATATGCTCTTTGCAATTCTAATTTGTTCACAGCATTGTGCAAAAGAAAAAAAATACACCCTTATTTACAACAAACATAAACTCCCTTTGGGTAGAGCTGTGCACAACATTGCAGTACATATTGGAACTGAACATACAACATACATAGTACTGTAATCATTCATGCACATCCAGACGTTCCTCTCTGTCTGGCCACATCATTTCATCTACATCACAGCGAATATCATCTCTTGCAATGCAGCGAGGAAAGTATCTCCTCGAGTGGCGAATCCACCCTCTGCAGGACTCTGCTGTGATGTCATCACATGCTGCATCTCTTCCCCTGTTTTGTCCCCTTCCCCTTCCTCCCCGCACCCTCACCCCTCTTCCACGAGGCTGCCCTTCCATTTCTGTGTCACAGTATTGTAGAAATGGTACACACTATGTCCTGCTTGGTTCATATATGCTTGTAAAGTGGGGGTTTATGGGATTCAGCTCTGACAGTGATTGTAGAGAAGTGGCTTATCATTGGTTGCAACTAATGCTTCACACACCCCTTCTCATCAGTGAAAGTTGAGATTCACCTGAGAGAAATTGTTCAATTTAGGAGACATTTTCAGGAAAAAAAAAGATTTAAAAAAATTTGTAAAATTTGCTTGACAGATTTTGACAACTAGTTCAACATTTTTGTATGTAATGACTCAAGCAATGAAATGAGGACTATTAGTTTTATATGGAATGACTATTCAGCATTCACAAGTATAGTTAATTTTGACTGACATGACATAAGCAAATGATAATGTTATAAAACAGCAGAGAGTTGTATGAAAGCAATTGATGCATGTCCAAAAGCATTTGCAATTTGTTCGAAGGAATGAGAAACTGCTACTATGATGTGCACAAATGACTAAATGTTGTGGAGGTTGAACTAACTGTTGTGCAAATGTAAATAGTGATGTGAGAAATGCACCAAAGCGACTGAGAAAAACTGTAAACACATCAGTGCTTTCGTAATGGTGTGTGTTTGGAGTAATTAAGGGCCAGATTTACTAAACGAGGCAATTCCATAAAAGCGCCGATGGCAATGGAATGTTCTGCGGGTGATCTTCTGACAATGTGCAAATTAAAGAGCGCAGACACAATATCTCATTTCCATAATGACCAACGCAATATACCAAGAGCAGTGCAAATTAGCATAAGGATATATTTGGATAATGTCTTCCTCTGGCATTCCAAATAAATTAATATGAGTGGAATAAATTATCTCCCTTCTACCACGCTCTGTTCTCTGCGGTGCTGCCTCCTGCAAAAGTGCAAGTGAAAAAAGGGTTAAGACGTGCTTTTGG